AATCCATGATTCATTCCAAAAGGAGCTAAATCCACAAAATCTAAAAATTTACTAAAAATCAGAAATAACTGGTAGATTTTTTTCTTATCATATATTATTGGTCCAGGGCGACCCCTTTAAGATATATAACAATATAAAGGTACATTGCTAAAGGGAAAGTGGAGAAATAAAAAAGGTCAATTACTCAAAGTGGATTTAGCTCCTTTTGGAATGAAACCGATTTGGATTTAGCTCCTTTTGGAATGAAACATGATATTGTACCTAATTTTTTTTATACTTCCTGGTGAAATTTTCGAACGTGATATAGTGAATTTTGTCCCCATGTAGGAAATCATTATTTTAAGACAAATAACTCCATTTTGATAAAATATGGATTTAGCTCCTTTTGGAATGAAGCTCTTCATATATATATATATAGAGAGAGAGAGAGAGAGAGAGGGGGGCGGGGAGAGAAGGGTGTGATTGATGTGAGAGAGGGTGATATAGAGAGAAGAAGGATATGAGAGAGGGAGAGAAAGAGAGAGAGAGAGAGAGAGAGAGAGAGAGGGGGGGGGGGGGGGGGCGGAGAGAAGGGTGTGATTGATGTGAGAGAAGGTGATATAGAGAGAAGAAGGATATGAGAGAGGGAGAGAAAGAGAGAGAGAGAGAAGAGTGCGATTGATATAAGGGATAATATTATATATATCGTCGTGTGCCCGGCAGAAGGGCGTTAACTCAAAATTTGGTAAAATTTTCGATTTTCAAATTTCGGTAAAAACTTAAAGAGATTAACAAGACCTTTCGAATGATGTGCTTTTTAATTCATATAATTGCGTAATTGTTACGTAATACACCAAAATGAAAATGGCGCGGGCAGCCAAAAATCAAAAGTCTTCCCAGCAGAAGGTCGTAAAAGCGCGCGTGACGTAATTTTATTCCCAGCAGACGGTCGCGATCGGAATCCTGCTATCTGCTACGACCTCCGAATCGGGTAAGTATTTGTAATTAACTATTTAAAAAACAAAGACAAAGTATACATTTTCAGCAATTTAGGACAAAATAATGTTACTCTTACAGTAATTTTGCTAGATCGTGAGAATAATGTTGAAAATCTGCTAAAACATTGGACCGTTTGTATCGTTTTTGTTCAATCGGTCCCATTTGTGGATTTTTGTGTTTGTTGGTCTGTGTTTGTTATGTCTGTGAGTGTGAGCTGTGTGTTGAGCTTTTGGATGCGTGTATCAATCATATATGATTGTTTACGTCTGGAAACGATTCATATGTGAACTAGTATCTGGAGGCATTAATTGTGGGCTTTAAAAAAAGTCTTGGTTCATAAAAATAGGACCCAAATCAAATTGACCTCGTACTAGAGTAGAGTCTAGAGACTCTAGACTCTAGTCTAGACCTACTACTAGAGTCTACTTACTTTACTAGGCCTAGGGTCTAGTCGTTAAAGACTCGTACTATCATAGTGCAGGCGCAGGTCTACTCATACAGTCATATAGATATACTAGTCATTCTATTTGTATATGCCTCACTCCTACAAATCATTACAATGAATGCATGAAGTCTAACCATAGATTGGATGGCTATATGCCTATGGTATGGAGTATCTATGGCACATTATTGTTAATCATTGTAGGAGTGAGTAGATCTAGATGTAGGTCTATATATTTAATTTACAGTTAGACCTCATGCATTGTCAGAGTGGATAGAGCTAGCTTTAGTATAAAAACGATGCATGCGCATGAGTTCATCATATGATCTATCCGCACTCGAGTTGAGGCTGTGCGTATCTATCGCACAAAGCCAATACACACAGCATCAACGTGGGTGGATAGATCCTATAGGCTATACTATAATGAACGAATGAAAACATGCATCATTTGTTTTATACAATGAAACCCTGGTGTAATGCGTTATAACCTGACTCATGGATCCTGTCAAGTATCGACGTAGTAGTAGAAGTAGAAATATCCAAGAACATAACATTTAATGATACATAAATCTGAACATAATCATCATTGTGAAGTAAGTGAGTGATCTTAATCGAGTCCATAAACAAGATACAACACTGAGTCCTTTACTTAGTAGTGTGGAACATAAGGCATGGTATCAATTAATGAAAGCACACAATTAGGCGTTCAGGAAAAAAACATGGAGAGTTTGTCTGTGAGGGGATTCAACATTGAGGACCTAGAAATGAGGCAAAGAAATTAAGTAGATTTAAATCTAATTTCAATGTTTAAACCAAAATCTATGAATAATAAACAAATGTGTTGTATATTTCAATGTACTTTTTCTGAAAAAAACTGACGTAAAAGTGCATATATTGATGATATACATGTATGTTATGCGCATTTGATATACACTCCTTAAATCTAGATTATAGCATATCCATTTATATTCTATATACTATGCCGTTTAATTTATCAAGCTATATTCAACATTTGTCTACAGATCAGCATGGATTCTATTGCTGCCAGTGCTGCTTCTTCAACCTTGAACGATGATCCTGAGGAAAATGTCCCATTGTCCAGATTGAAAGGAGGTAAGTAAAAAAAAAAAAAAAAAATTGGTTTGAAGAAAAAATCTTATCCCTCCCCCCCCCCCCCCCAGATTTAGAGCTTGTAAATAATGCAAAATGCTAAAATAACAAGTGTATGTTCTTTTCAGTTGGTGTAATTTTACTTAGAGTATGTGATCTGGTAGAACAAAACCTTTTTACTATTCCGCTAAAGAACGCAGAAATAAAAACGTAGTGAAAATACTAATTATATTTGTTATACATTATCTTTTTATTTCCAGACCAGCGAACATTGACTTCCACCTCCGAAGTCATCGAGGAGGAGGAGGATAAGATATTATCTTCAAGATTGAAAGGAACAGGTAAGTAAATTAGAAAATTAATTGAAATAAAAAAGATATGTTTTTCTTTTTCATTTATTTAATCCCCAGATAAACTTATAAATGATGCAAAATGCTAAAATATCAGTTATTTATATGTACATATTCTATATGTTTAATGGGTGTTATTTCATTTCTGTATTTCCGTAGAACAAAACCCTCTTACTTTTTGAAAAAAGAATACTGAAAAGAAGAAAAAAAAATAGAAAAGTTGAGAAAACACTGATTATATTTGTAATACATTGTGTTTTTATTTCATTTTCCAGACCAGCTTTCACCTAGTCCCAGCCTAAAAGTTCCCCCCAAAACGAACAGCTCAACAGTTTCAGGTGACGCCCACATCGAAATGGATGAATTTCAGGTAATTTCTATTCTCTGTAATTTCATGAGCAACCAAATGCTTCACCTGTTGAAAGATTGTATATTTAATTACTTATTTATTTTTGAATCTACTTATTTTAAATTCTTTATCAAGAGTAAACTGTTTAATTTGATGACATAAAGGTTGAGTTACTTAAAATAACATTTAAAAAATTGACAAATGACAGGGATTATTGAGACTTATAATATGAATATACACTTTGTATGTTTGGTTTGATAGGTTATCACCACTGGCGGCAGAGCAGTTACACCTGGTAGCTCATCTAAGCTTGACTCTGCTGACGTGACACCTGGTAGCTCATCTAAACTTGACTCTGCTGACGTGACACCTGGTAGCTCATCTAAGCTTGACTCTGCTGACGTGACACCTGGTAGCTCATCTAAGCTTGACTCTGGTGACGTGACACCTGGTAGCTCATCTAAGCTTGACTCTGCTGACGTGACACCTGGTAGCTCATCTAAGCTTGACTCTGCTGACGTGACACCTGGTAGCTCATCTAAGCTTGACTCTGCTGACTTGACACCTGGTAGCTCATCTAAGCTTGACTCTGCTGACGTGACACCTGGTAGCTTATCTAAGCTCGACTCTGCTGACGTGACCATTGTCACAGAAGTTCCTCTGTGCAATGAAGAGCCAATGGAGCTGGATGATGACGAGGTACACATGTTTCTTATTACGTACTTAACCTTCTACATTGTACGTGTATGCTATGCACTTCTGATACACACTACGTTCTCAGGTTATAGGTTCTCAGTTTAAGCCTAGATGTAAATTAATAATAGCATATCCATTTATATTCTATATTCTATGCCTATTAATTAATCAAGCTACATGTATATCCAAAATTTGTCCACAGATCAACATGGATCCAACCACTGACATTCTGGTCCAATGGGATGATGGAAGTAAAAATGTGGTGGTCCTCGGTGATATCATGTGCAATCAGTCAGCACCAAAGAAGGGATCACAAGTCAGCATGCCTTGGCGCAAGGTGACATGGCATGGGGTGGTGTTAGCTGTTGCTGACAGTGCTGCCTCGTCAACTTCAGACGATGAGGAGGAGGATAATATTCCACTGTCAAGATTGAAAGGAGCATGTAAGTAAATTGGAAGAAGACAAATATATTTTTCTATTAATTTTATTTATTTCCCAAATGTAGAGCTTGTAAATTATGCAAAATGCTAAAATTTAAATTTAGATTTTATAGGTTTTATTCAGTTGGTTTTATTTTACTTATGTGTTCTGGTAGAACAAATTCCTATGTCTATTCTGATCAAGAACACAGACAACAAATTGAAAGTTGAGAAAACACTGATTATGTTTGTAATACATTATGTTTTAATTTCCAGACCAGCTAGCATTGTGTTCCACCTCTGATGATCAATATGATGAGGAAGAAAATGTCCCGTTGTCAAGATTAAAGAGAGCATGTAAGTATAATAGATAATAAATTGGTATAGAAAAGATTTTTTTGTTATTTATTATGTATTCCCCAGATTAAGAGCTTTTAAATGATGTTAAATGCTAAAATATAAGTTTATATGTTCAATTTGTGTTATTTTTCTTCTATATTCCATTAGAACAAAACCCTCTTTAATAATATTTGGAAAAAGTTGAGAAAATATTGATTATATTTGTAAGACAATATGTTTTTATTTCTTTTTCCAGACCAGCTTTCACCGTGTCCTAGCCCAACAGTTCCCCCAAGGATGAACAGCACAAAAGCTACCGATGACGCCCACATCAATATGGATGAATTTCAGGTAATTTCTATTCTCTGTAATTTCATGAAAAACCAAATGCTTCACCTGTTGAAAGATTGTATATTTAATTACTTATTTATTTTTGTATCTACTTATTTTAAAATCTTTATCCAAAATTGACAAATGACAGGGATTATTGAGACTTATAACATGAATATACACTTTGTATGTTTGGTTTGATAGGTTATCACCACTGGCGGCAGAGCAGTTACACCTGGTAGCTCATCTAAGCTTGACTTTGCTGACGTGACACCTGGTAGCTCATCTAAGCTTGACTCTGCTGACGTGACGCCTGGTAGCTCATCTAAGCTTGACTCTGCTGACGTGACACCTGGTAGCTCATCTAAGCTTGACTCTGCTGACGTGACACCTGGTAGCTCATCTAAGCTTGACTCTGCTGACGTGACACCTGGTAGCTCATCTAAGCTTGACTCTGCTGACGTGACCATTGTCACAGAAGTTCCTCTGTGCAATGAAGAGCCAATGGAGCTGGGTGATGACGAGGTACACATGTTTCTTATTACTCATGCTTTTACTATAAATACCACACATACCGGTCATACTAAAAGAACCATCAGAGCAGTGATGTAAAATGCTGCTCTTAAGTTTGATGATAATTGATTTGCTTCTGTTTTTTTAATTGAACCAGTATATGTGATTGATATGAACATGAAAATATCATAAAAGTATCAACTGTATTTGATGTTATTCATAGTATACAGTTTCACATATAATGCATGATTATGCAATAATAGTAAATACAAGAATGAAGATGTCTTATTGCATCAAATGATTCATGTCTTCCATAACAGGAAATCAATGTACCCGTCAATGATTTTCAGCCCGAGAGTGTGTCATCGAGGTCCAACTCTACCCAGAAAGAAAAAGTGGTAATATTGCTTTTATATTTAAGTTCAATTGTATTTCCACTATTTGCTTTAAAAGTGGTATTATTTTTTGCTCACTTGATTACTTTTAGTTCATCCCTAATGTATGCATAATAACTCATTGTGTAATTAAGTTTAGTGATAAGAGATTAAGGACAAAAATGACAAATAAAAAAATTGTAAATGGATATTCAAATGACATGAAACTTCAAGAGTACATTGCTTGTGTCTGTATCACAGAAGCAGTATTCATGAGAGATTAAGAATATATATGTATGCATATCAATCCGATCTTGTAACTTCATTTGTAATGTTATCAATATTTCAGAATTGTGTTCAATTTTCCTTTTTCTACGTATACTAAAGGACTTTGTTTCTATTATTATGGAAATATAACATTAAGTCCTCATAATAATTTATGACAAAATATTTATTTTTGTATTCAGCAAATTCCAGGACCAGTTCACAGCGTCTCACATGCCCATACTGGAAAAGAGCACCCCCAAATATGTGAGGTAAGATTAGTTAAGTTCTCTAAAAATTGTTACCATTTGCCACACTCAACCCAGGTGATGTAAATGGGTACCTGTCAGGAATTAATTCCTTGAAATGCGAGAGCACCGTAATGGCAGCAGTGCTAAAGCCAGGGTAATAATCTCTCTCTGCACATCAGAATAGTTTACTAGATCGATGGCACATTAAAAATGCTGTAGTATTACCTTTCATTCATATAATTTATTAGAGATGGCAGATTTCATGGAGTTATGATATGTTTTTATGCCTCCGTTACGAACTAGCCGGAGGCATTATGTTTTTGGGTTGTCCGTCCGTCCGTACGTACGTCCCTTCCGTACGTCACGTCCGTAGGACCCGTTCTCGTGATCGCGTTATCTCAAGAATCGACGAATGAATTCGATCCTGCCAAACTTGAACCTTGTATGTATCTGGCAGAGCCAATGAACTGATTAGATTTTAGGGTCATGAGGTCAAAATTCAAAGCGTCATACATGTGTATGAAAAATAGCTTGTAATCACCATATTCTGAGAACCTGTTAATTGATTACAATTCAACTTGAATTTGAAAAATTGCTTCTGTTTTGGTTTGTGAAATCGCACTATGGCGGAGGCATCATTTTCGACTGTGCGCAGTCGAAGTTCCTTTAGTTTCAATTATTTATTTTTATTTTTATTGATTTAATTTTAAAGGCAAACTATGGTAACAGGGTTCAAAAGAAATTTTGTTCTAACAAAAAATGTACTGGTATTCAAATTGATTTGCCCATTAGATATCACTATTGGGAAAGTTATTTATTTGAATGTATTAAACATCAAGTCAAAGATTTAATTAAGATTTCAAGTCTAAGTGAATTAATCCGGAGAACCTTTAAAATGTAGAAAGGCTGATTATAATCACTTGAATATGTATATAGCTGAAGGATATACTGATTTATTTTAAAAAGAAAGCTTTGTCAATTCAATTATTAACAGTAAAAATAGGATACATGCTAAGTGTTTAAAGTATACTAGTACTATGTTTCTTTTGTTTTACTGTTTTTACAGAAGAGCAAAGCAAGGAAAAGGGTTGCTCAGCCTCAGGAATGGCAGCAAAACATCCAAAAAACTAAGCGGATCCATGGTCAACCCTACCATTCACGAAATGGAGAGGCACGTGATGCACGTAAGGTTGGAGAACCATGTAAGGATTCGTGTAAACTTAGGTGCAAAGATAATTTCAACCCTGCTCAGAGAAAGGCAATTTTTGATCAGTATTGGCAGTGTGGCTCTTTTGAGCGCCAAAGAGATTTCATTTGTGAGAATGTATTTGATAAGCAGGGTAGTTCAGGCAAGAAAAAAAATAAAACATACCTTCTCCCAACAAATAATGGTAAGCAGAATGTGTGTCACTTGTTTTTCCTGAGAACTCTATCTATTTCTCAGAAGACTGTTCTCTACACATTACAGAAACGAGATGGGGCATTTTCAGCCAAAGATAGAAGAGGTAGACACCAACCTTCAAACAAAACAAGTAATGATGACGTGAACGCTGTGAGAGATCACATAAGGCAGTTTCAGGTCATTGAATCGCATTATTGTCGTGCATCCACTTCCAGGCAATATTTGCCTGCTGACTTGAGTCTACAGAAAATGTATGACATGTATGCTTCCCAAACCCCAATTCCAATATCTATCAAGGTTTATCGTAGGGTCTTTAATACTAATTTCAATCTAGGCTTTCATCCTCCAAAGAAGGATGAATGTAAGACTTGCTCTTGCTTTAGCAATAGCAACGCAGAGGAAAAAGAATCAATGGCAGTTGCATTTAATCAACATCTGAAGAACAAGGAAAGAGCAAGACAAGAAAAGAAGAGTGACAAAGAGAAGGCCCAGACTTGCCCAAACAGTGCTGCCTTCACGTTTGACCTACAGCAGGTTCTCAGCTGCCCATCTGCCCAAACATCAGTACTATTTTATAAACGTAAGTTGTCTTCATACAACTTGACAGTGTACAGTCAGGCAGATAGTGAGGTACATTGCTATATGTGGAGTGAGGTTGATGGGAATCGAGGTGCCTGTGAAATAGGCTCATGTCTGATCAACCATCTTCTCTCTCAACCTGAAAGTGTGACGGATGTTTCACTTTTCAGTGATTCATGTGCAGGCCAGAACAAGAATAAGTATATTGCTGCTGCATTATTACATATTGTTCGGACTTCTTCTATCAATGTCATAGATCAGAAGTTCTTGGAGTCGGGACACACTCAGATGGAAGTTGACTCTGTTCATAGCACCATAGAACAGGTCAAACGTAAGGTCCAGGTACACCATCCAGATCAGTGGCCTATGGTTGCATCCATGGCACGTCCAAAACAACCTTACCATGTGAAGCAGCTCAGGTTTGGTGAGTTCTTCGACTTGAAGAAACTTGCTGCAGAGATTCTGCACAACACCCAGAGAGATGTGTCTGGAGATAAAGTGCAGTGGACTAAGATGAAGCACTTGAGGTATGAGAAGAGTTCTCCTCTTACCATCAAATTCAAGTATGATTTCGATGAGGAGTTTCATGAGGTGAAGGTCTCTGCATCTGGCAGGAGGATGAAGAATTCCCAACTTGAAGCACTCTATGATTCACAGCTTCCGATAAGTGCAGCAAAGAAGGTTGATCTGGTGAACTTGTGCAATATGAATGTAATTCCTAGTGTTTACCAGAGCTTCTACAGAGATCTACCTGATGGAGATGGTCACCGCAATTGTGAAGAATAATTCACTTTATTCTGTCTTCCTTGATTTTTACTCTAACTTTTCAGTCTTCTGTTTCATTTACAGGATTATATTCACTGCCTGTAATATGTTGACGGTTTTGAGGTAAGTAAAAAAGAAAGCTGATGCTTTTGACTTAGACACTTGACTTGATCAAATGTCATTGTTTGAGTTGTAAGCAAAACATTGTTTTATTTAAACGATAAAGCTGCCAACAGAGAAAGCTAACAAGACTTTTCAGAGTTCTGAACTTGGAGGCTATATGTTAGGATGTTTGTGACCAATACTAAACACAAAAGCTCTTTTTAGAGCTGTATGTACAATGATGTACACACAAACTTTTTTTGAGAGCGCTGATATAATCTGTTCTCATGGTTTTGTACACAAAAGCTCTTTCAGAGCTATAAAATGTACAGAAATGTACATAACAGCTCTTTTCAGAGCTACATACATGTTCAGTAATAAACAAAAGCTCACGTTAGAGCTAGAACGTGCTCATCACAGAATACAAAAAGTTCTTTTAAGAGCTACCATGTTGTATTTTCTGTCGTGAGCGTGTGCTACAGTTTCACTTATTGTAATACTTTTTTTAAATATTGCCTTTCATAATGCTGAAATATTGGTCAATCCATTTTCTCTTTTGCTAACATACTGCACAGTACGTTAAATGCAGAATACAAAAAGTTCTTTTAAGAGCTACCATGTTGTACTTTCTGCCATGAACGTGTGCTACAGTGTTACTTATTGTAATACTTTTTTAAAATATTGCCTTTGATAATGCTGAAATATTGGTCAATCCGTTTTCTCTTTTGCTAACATATTTACTGCACAGTACGTTAAATGCAAAATACAAAAAGTTCTTTTAAGAGCTACCATGTTGTATTTTCTGCCATGAACGTGTGCTACAGTGTCACTTATTGTAATACTTTTTTTAAATATTGCCTTTAATAATGCTGAAATATTGTTCAAGTATTTTCTCTTTTGCTAACTTACTGCACAGCATGTTAACTGCAGAATACAAAAAGTTCTTTGAAGAGCTACCATGTTGTACTTTCTGCCATGAACGTGTGCTACAGTTTGACTTTATATTGTCATACTTTTGTTATATTGCCTTTAATAATGCTGAAATATTGTTCAAGTATTTTCTCTTTTGTTATTACTGCACAGTACGTTAACTGCAGAATACAAAAAGTTCTTTTTAAGAGCTACCCTGTTGTACTTTTTGCAATGAACGTGTGCTACAGTTTCACTTATTGTCGTACTTGTTTTTTATTTTGGCCTTTGATAATGCTGAAATATTGTTCAAGTATTTTTCTTTTGTAAACTTACTGCACAGTTTTTAAAACTATCTACATATTTATTGTGATTTCTACATTTTCTTTAGTGCTTTTATTTTTATATGTACAATGGCAAACAAGAACATTTTAATTACTTTGAAGGATTAGAATAATAGGTACTTTGAACATGAGCTGTAAAAAAATATTTCCAATTATTATGCATTGAATAGAATCCAGCAAAGATTGTAGAATATGAATACAAAAGCTCATTTTAGAGCTAGAACAGGTTCAACGCAGAATACAAAAAGTTCTTTTAAGAGCATTCTGCCATGAACGTGTGCTACAGTTAAATAAGTTCCAATTTTGATATGCAAACATCATTGATAATGATTTATCAATTTTCAGGGCTTAAATTAATCCAAGGCCACCAAGGCTATGGCCTTTGATGCCCCTTTGATTGGCCTCAATGCCCCTCTCATTGGCCTTGGAGATTTTGTGTGCCCTTTCCAATTCTTCCTATTTGTGCTGTAATATAGAAATGTGCCCTACAGAAAAGTGGCCTTGCATGCCCTAAAAATATTGAAATTTAAGGCCTGAATTTTGAATGATTTTACATGTAATTGTAAAATGAACTGTACAAAAAATGATTCCAGTTATATTGCAAAAAAATAAATTCAGTCATAACCATGACGAAAGTGTCCATCTTAAAATTTGATTGCTTTGTACTATTCAACGTTTATTCTAATTTAGTTAGATTTGTTTATGGGAGAAATGTGTCTGAGAGAGTAATGTTCTAGAATGATAAAGACTAATTGACAAGAAGATAGACACGTGACTGCAAAAGAGAGGTAACAAACGATTATGAGATGTGATTAATGGAGAAAGAAAAAGAGAAATAGAGAGAGAGAGAGAGAGAAAGAGAGATAGTGATCGCTAGAGAGAGAGAGATACAAAGAATTGAGAAGAAATTGTACATAGTGCTTGGTGTGCCCCCCCCCCCCCCAACAAATGGTATACCAATACACATTTGATCATTGACACAAATAAATAAAACAAAATGGATTTACATCACATTCTCCCCCACAGGAGTTGAAAGACACCTTTTGTCTATTTTTCAATTTTTGGACTCAAGAGGGCGACAAACATAATGATATAACCCATTAATGTGCAAGAATATAACCCATTAATGTGCAAGAATTGAGCTTGTGAACAAATATATGTTGTTAAGAGGGTCATACTAATTCATCAAAATTTTCCTCCATTGCATGACTATGCGCCGAGCGCGTTCACGCCCTTCTGCTGGGAACAAATTTGCGCTAAAGTGTAGTTTTCCTTCCCGGCAGAAGGGCGTAACACCGTTCACGCCCTTCTGCCGGGAAGAAAAACACTGCTTTAGCGTAAATTTGTTCCCAGCAGAAGGGCGTGAACGGAAAAAGTGCTTATATCTTTAAAAGTTTTGCACCATTTCATATCATATTTAGGTTGATGATTCTTGAATAAGTATTTTATCATCGGGTGAAATTTAGAAACATTTAAACAGTAATTACTTCAAGAATGTCACCTGCAATGAGGAGCATATTCTTCAAACGCGATTTTCTCGAAACGCGGTTTTTCGTGCGCACATGCGCTTACGCCCTTCTGCCGGGCACACGACGATATATAGAGAGAGAGAGAGAGAGAGAGGGGGCGGGGAGAGAAGGGTGTGGTTGATGTGAGAGAAGGTGATATAGAGAGAAGAAGGATATGAGAAAGGGAGAGAAAGAGAGAGAGAGAAGAGTGCGATTGATATAAGGGATAATTATAGAGAGAGAGAGAGAGAGAGAGAGAGAGAGGGGGCGGGGAGAGAAGGGTGTGATTGATGTGAGAGAAGGTGATATAGAGAGAAGAAGGATATGAGAGAGGGAGAGAAAGAGAGAGAGAGAGAGAGAAGAGTGCGATTGATATAAGGGATAATATATATAATATATATATAGAGAGAGAGAGAGAGAGAGAGAGGGGGGGGGGGGAGAGAAGGGTGTGATTGATGTGAGAGAGGGTGATATAGAGAGAAGAAGGATATGAGAGAGGGAGAGAGAGAGAGAGAGAGAGAGAGAAGAGTGCGATTGATATAATGGATAATAGAGAGAGAGAGAGAGAGAGAGAGAGGGGGGGGGGTAGAAGAAGGGTGTGATTGATGTGAGAGAAGGTGATATAGAGAGAGGAAGGATATGAGAGAGGGAGAGAAAGAGAGAGAGAGAGAAGAGTGCGATTGATATAAGGGATAATATATATATATATAGAGAGAGAGAGAGAGAGAGAGAGAGAGAGAGAGAGGGGGGGGGGGTAGAAGAAGGGTGTGATTGATGTGAGAGAAGGTGATATAGAGAGAAGAAGGATATGAGAGAGGGAGAGAAAGAGAGAGAGAGAGAGAGAAGAGTGCGATTGATATAAGGGATAATATATGAAGAGTTTCATTCCAAAAGGAGCTAAATCCACTTTGGGTACCTCTGAGTAAATCGCCTTTTTTTATTTCTCCACTTTCCCTTTAGCCATGGACCTTAATGTTGTTATATATTTTAAAGGTGTCCCCCTGGACCAATAATATATGATAAGAAAAAATCTATCAGTGTTTCCTGATTTTTACTAAATTTTTAGAATTTTTGTTTTCGTGGATTTAGCTCCTTTTGGAATGAAACATGATATAGTACCCGGAAAATTTTATATTTTCTCAATAAAGTCACTGAAATGTATTCAAATTTAGTAGCAAACCTTTCCTTTTAAATAATAATAGTGAAATCACAACTAAAAAAACCTTTTGAAAAGAAAGTAAACAACATATCCCATTTTCATTCCAAAAGGAGCTAAATCCGTTTCATTCCAAAAGGAGCTAAATCCATGTTTCATTCCAAAAGGAGCTAAATCCACAAAATCTAAAAAATTTACTAAAAATCAGAAATAACTGGTAGATTTTTTTCTTATCATATATTATTGGTCCAGGGCGACCCCTTTAAGATATATAACAATATAAAGGTACATTGCTAAAGGGAAAGTGGAGAAATAAAAAAGGTCAATTACTCAAAGTGGATTTAGCTCCTTTTGGAATGAAACCGATTTGGATTTAGCTCCTTTTGGAATGAAACATGATATTGTACCTAATTTTTTTTTATACTTCCTGGTGAAATTTTCGAACGTGATATAGTGAATTTTGTCCCCATGAAGGAAATCATTATTTTAAGACAAATAACTCCATTTTGATAAAATATGGATTTAGCTCCTTTTGGAATGAAGCTCTTCATATATATATATAGAGAGAGAGAGAGAGAGAGAGAGAGAGGGGGGGGGGGCGGGGAGAGAAGGGTGTGATTGATGTGAGAGAGGGTGATATAGAGAGAAGAAGGATAGGAGAGAGGGAGAGAAAGAGAGAGAGAGAGAGAAGAGTGCGATTGATATAAGGGATAATAGAGAGAGAGAGAGAGAGAGAGAGGGGGGGTAGAAGAAGGGTGTGATTGATGTGAGAGAAGGTGATATAGAGAGAAGAAGGATATGAGAGAGGGAGAGAAAGAGAGAGAGAAGAGTGCGATTGATATAAGGGATAATATATATATAGAGAGAGAGAGAGAGAGAGAGAGAGAGAGGGGCGGGGAGAGAAGGGTGTGATTGATGTGAGAGAAGGTGATATAGAGAGAAGAAGGATATGAGAGAGGGAGAGAAAGAGAGAGAGAGAGAAGAGTGCGATTGATATAAGGGATAATATTATAGAGAGAGAGAGAGAGAGAGGGGGGGGGCGGGGAGAGAAGGGTGTGGTTGATGTGAGAGAAGGTGATATAGAGAGAAGAAGGATATGAGAAAGGGAGAGAAAGAGAGAGAGAGAAGAGTGCGATTGATATAAGGGATAATATATATATATAGAGAGAGAGAGAGAGAGAGAGAGAGGGGCGGGGAGAGAAGGGTGTGATTGATGTGAGAGAAGGTGATATAGAGAGAAGAAGGATATGAGAGAGGGAGAGAACGAGAGAGAGAGAGAAGAGTGCGATTGATATAAGGGATAATATATATATATAGAGAGAGAGAGAGAGAGAGAGGGGGGGGGCGGGGAGAGAAGGGTGTGATTGATGTGAGAGAGGGTGATATAGAGAGAAGAAGGATATGAGAGAGGGAGAGAAAGAGAGAGAGAGAGAGAGAAGAGTGCGATTGATATAAGGGATAATAGAGAGAGAGAGAGAGAGAGAGGGGGGGGGGGTAGAAGAAGGGTGTGATTGATGTGAGAGAAGGTGATATAGAGAGAAGAAGGATATGAGAGAGGGAGAGAAAGAGAGAGAGAGAGAGAAGAGTGCGATTGATATAAGGGATAATATATATATATATATATATATAGAGAGAGAGAGAGAGAGAGAGAGAGGGGGGGGTAGAAGAAGGGTGTGATTGATGTGAGAGAAGGTGATATAGAGAGAAGAAGGATATGAGAGAGGGAGAGAAAGAGAGAGAGAGAGAAGAGTGCGATTGATATAAGGGATAATATATATATAGAGAGAGGGAGAGAGAGAGAGAGAGGGGGGGGGGGGGGGGGGGGAGAAGGGTGTGATTGATGTGAGAGAGGGTGATATAGAGAGAGAAAAGAGAGAAGAAGGGGGTGGTAGATATCAGGGATATATATAAAGAGAGAGGGGGGTAGAAGAAGGGTGTGGTTGATGTGAGAGGTGATATAGAGAGAAAGAGAGAGAAGAGTGAGATTGATATAAGGGATAATTATATATATATAGAGAGAGAGAGGGGGGGGGGGGGCGGGGAGAGAAAGGTGTGATTGATGTGAGAGAGGGTGATATAGAGAGAAGAAGGATGTGAGAGAGGGTTATATAGAGAGAAAGAGAGAGAGAGAGAGAGAGAGAGAGAGGGGCGGGGAGAGAAGAAGGGTGTGATTGATGTGAAAGAGGGTGATATAGAGAGAAAGAGAGAGAAGAGTGAGATTGATATAAGGGATAATTATATATATAGAGAGAGAGAGAGAGGGGGGGGGGGCGGGGAGAGAAGAAGGGTGTGATTGAATTGAGAGAGGGTGATATAGAGAGAAGAAGGATGTGAGAGAGGGTTATATAGAGAGAAAGAGAGAGAGAGAGGGGGGCGGGGAGAGAAGAAGGGTGTGATTGATGTGAAAGAGGGTGATATAGAGAGAAGAAGGATGTGATTGATGTGAGAGAGGGTGATATAGAGAGAAAAAGAGAGAAGGGTGTGGCTGATATCAGGGATATAGAGAGAGAGAGAGAGAGAGTGGGGGATAGAAGAAGGGTGTGATTGAATTGAGAGATAATTCGTCTATTATAGAGGTGATAGGGGGTGATATATATTTAGAGAGAAAGAGAAAGAGAGAGAGAGAGAGAGAGAGAGAAGAAGAAAGATGTGACTTATATGAGATATAGAGGTGAGAGAGGGAGGCGGGGGTAGGCGGGGCAGTGCAGATGGGTCAAGAGCTCTCTTTCTCTCTCATTATGTT